GGATGAGGATGAGGATGAGGATGAGGATGAGGATGAGGATGAGGATGAGGATGAGGATGAGGAGACTGCTGGAGGCCAGGAAGGCAGTGGGTGGAATGTCTAAGGTTGCCCGGAGGTGCTGTGGGTGCTCTATCCATGGAGGTGCCTGAAGCCATGGATGGGGCCCTGGGTAACCTGAGCTCATGGGGGGCAGCCAGCTCATGGTGAAGAGCTGGAATTGGTTGGGCTTTAAGGTCTCCTTCCAACCCAACCATTCTATGATTCTAAGAACAGATGATCATAGAATTAGAGGTTCATAGAATGGCATAGGATGGAAGGGGTCCTAAAGCCCTCCCAGCTCCAACCCCTGCCATGGAATCAGGCTGCCCACAGCCCCATCCATGGCCTGGGGCACCTCCAGGGATGGGGCACACACACCTCTCTGAGCGCTCCACCGCCCTTTGAGTAAATAACTCCTTCTGTTCTTACATTGCTCCCTTCATCTCGGCTGCTCCGCCTCTTCTCACCTCGACAGCATCTACTGCAAGCAGTGCTGCAGGGCGGTGTGCTGCATCTGCGCTCTGCTGGACGCCGCTCACAGCGGGCAGCACTGCGACGTCAGCACGGAGGCACGGCTGCGGCAGGACGAGCTGGCAGCGCTGGGGCAGGAGCTGGCGCGGAGGCGGGGCGGCTTCGAGGCGTCGCGTGCGGCGCTGCAGGACGAGGCGGCGCGGCTGGAGGCGGCGGGGCTCGGGGTGCGGGAGCTGGTGAGGCAGCGCGTGGAGCAGCTGGTGAGGCTGATCCGGCACGAGGAGGAGGAGCTGCTGGCCACGGTGGAGAGGAGGCAGGAGAAGAGCCGCAGGGAGCTGGAGAGGGAGCTGCGGCGCGTGGAGGCCGTGCTGCGGAGGATGGAGGCGGGCGAGAGGCTGGTGGAGAAGATGGGCCTCTATGCCACGGAGCAGGAGGTGATGGACATGCAGCCCTTCGTCAAGGATGCGCTGGAGGAGCTGCAGAGGCAGCGCCCGGCGGCGGATGGGGAGCTGGGGCTGCACGAGGACTTTGCCGAGTGCCGTGCCAGGCTGCAGGCGCTGGCTGAGCGCATTGAGGGGCTGCAAGGTGAGATGTGGGCACGCTGCTCCGCGGAGCTGGGTGGAGGCCAAAAGCCAGGCTGGGTGTCCTACGTTGGGATTCACATCTCCTCCCACTTGGAGGACGGTGGTTGCTGCCCTCGCTCCAAGGCTGGGATGCCACCGTTGCTTCCGTTGCTGCCAAAGCGATGGTGGGGCTTGCTGAGTGCAGCCAGCCCCCAGTGCGCAGTAAGGGGAGGGATGATGGTAAGTCATCTGTGCCCTGGGCTGGGGAAGGTGAGTGGCATGTGGATGTGGGTGTGCAGGAGGGCTGGGGTTGTCCTCTCCAAGAAGTGTGGCATGCACACGGGTCGCCTCTGTCCCTGGGCCCCGGCGTGCTGCCATCTGCTGAGCGCTCCATCCATGCTGTCCTTGCTAAGCTCCCTCTCCTGCTCCCTTCAGCCCCGCTCCCCACAGCAGGTCCCGCTGTCCGCCAGCAGGACACGGCATCTGAGGACAGCAGCACTCCGACCCTCGACCTGCAGCCTCAGCCCCATAGCCCAGGAGGAGACGCACCCCCCACACCACCCACCCCTGCTGCACAGCGGGATGAAGGAGCAGAGGAAGGCTCAGCATCACCTCTCAGTGCTGCTGGGGACACCACATCTCTCCCCAAGAGCCTCCAGACTTCCCTGGCTGCCCTGCAGGAAGATTTTGGTTGCTGGGCCAGGGCACACCTGCAGCACACGGATGAGCTGCTGGGGGTCACCGCTTGCCTGCTGCAGGCTCAGCGCAGACAGAACAAACACCTGGTGTCCCTGTCCCGTGGGGTGCACTCCATGGCCCGCTCCCTCAGTGCCATCGCCTCCTCTATGGGGACAGTGCTGCAACTGAGGCCTCAGGACCCCAGATCTATGCTCACCCCACAGGAGCCCTCACTGCCCTTCAACCTGCTGGATTTGTTCTGCCCCAGCACCTCGCAGCAGAATGAAACGGATCGGGGTCCTGCAGCACCTCCCCCTGCTGCCGAGCCCCCCGCCAGGTCCCCATCACCCAAGGCCCCCAGCCCAGTGCTGGAGGAGGAGCATCCCAGCAGGGGCAAGCGAGACTGGAAGCACACTGCTGGCCCCAGGAAGAGGAGGAAGAAGTGAGGGGAAACGGTGTGCAATGATACTGCAGGAGAGCAGTGAGGATTGGGCTCCATCTGCAAACCAGGATGCCTAAAAAACCCATGGAAAGTCACTGCAGGGACCAAGCTCCCCACCTCACTTGCTATGCCAATAAAATCCTCCTGGGCTGAGCGTTTGTCTTTTGCTGGTGTCACAGCCCAAAAGGGCTCTCCTGAGAGCTTCCCAAATTGTGTCCCACTTCCCCCAACGAATGGTTTGAACATGTCCACGGCCACATCCTGAGCATTGCTGGAGAGCATTCCTATGGCATGTCCCCAGCTACCAAATCACAGCAGCTTCATTGCATGATGCTACTAATGGCCTTTTCAGCTTTCCAGCATATGTGGGCGGCTGAATGAGCGAGCATTTTACCAGCCCAGCCTCACGGCTTGAGTTTGGCCTCTGCAACATCTCCCAGTGGGGCTCAGGACTGCCCGTGTCTCCAGCATCCCCGTGGCAGCAGAGGGCACACGGCCCCACAGCCACCTGCACCTCCTGCAGAGGGTTTTGCAACACCCGTTACTCTCAGACACCTCCAGCACTGCTCACCCTCCTCATCCTGCTGTGTTTTTTGTTCTTTCAGAAGCTGCCCCCACTCCAGCCACCACGAAAAGCTCCCACCAGGTGAGATCTGCTTTTTGCTCACACCACAAGCCATCCCAAATCCCAGGGCTTCCCACGACGTCTCCAAGCACCCCTGTATCTCCTATTCATGGCCTCCACCTCCGCCCCTTGCCTCAGGTCCTCTGTTGGTCCCTGTGTGGTCCCATCACATCCCCAGGCTGGCACACTGGGTTTGCTCACCAAAGCAAGGACTGTGCATCATTGTGCCTGCCTCAGTGTCATTACTTTGAGGCTCTTTCCTTGGGTTCAAAAACGAGTGCCTTGAGGATCCTCAGCCTTTCCCTCGGACTTGTGTGGTTGTGCTCTGGCAGCAAAGGACATCCCTGGCCACACGGGGATGCTCACTGAGCTCTGCTTTGCCCACTCAGGTCCCATTGACCTCCAACCCTGCCAAGAGGAAGAAAGATGAAAGCACCACCACGCTGCAACTTCCTGCAAAAGTGATAAAGGTTGAGAAGGACGACAATGAGTGGAGCACATCAGTGGTGCCACAGGAACCAAACTGCTTGCCCCAGCCCCAGACCAGCTTTTCTGCACCCACTATGGCTGCCAGCAGGGAAGGTTGCCTGCTGAACATCGTGCCAGACAGCAGTGATGAGATGCATGACTCAGGTAAGCAATGCTCCTGCAGGCATCAGGTGGATTCTGGGGGCCAGTTTGCAGCATCCCCAAGAAGTTCCCAGGATGATGGTCACATCTCAATGCATCTTCTTGTTCAGATGGTTGCCCCCCATTACCTCTTTGCTCCCAGGGCACCTCAGCTCAGCTGACGATGCTGACAGGGGGTCAGTTGGCCCTTGTGCTCACTGCAGGTCAGACAGTCCTGTGTCCCAAAGGTGATAGGTCTTTTCTCTCTGTGCAGATAGCGACCTTCTCAACTTGGGCAGCGATGAAGAGGACAGCATGGATGAGGAGTTGCTGGTGAGTTAAGATCCTGGTAAAGAACTTCTGAAATCCTTCCTGATAGCCCCATCTTTCCTGTCATCTTAGAGCAGAAAGCTACTCGGTAAGGTTCCCAGCAGGTCACTCCAAGTCGTCCAGCAGTTAGTTTGAATAGATCCCTTTGGTCACCTCCAGGACGCACAAACACCCTGAGCTGCTCCCTGGTTCTTCCTGAGATGTTTATTAAAAGCTAGTCGTTTGCTCCACCAGGACCCCAGTCTGCTAGATGATATGCTCGAGGATGGCACCAGCACTGACAACACACACCTTCCCATCTGCCTCCAGAACACGCTGGATGTGGGACAAGGAACCGTGATCTTCTTTGACGTTAAGATTTGGAGTAAGATCCTAAGTGGGAACGTCTTCTGTAATGAGTATGCCATGTTGAAGCTGGCTTAGATCCCCACGTATGGCAGCATCACTTTTGATTTATGTGGGGTGGGCAGAAGTTGGGAAGCTTTGTGAGGTATTGGCACGGGCTGCCCTCAGAGGTGGTGGAGTCACTGTCCCTGGAGGTGTTCAAGAAAACAATAGATGTGGCACTGTGGGACATGGTCTAAAGTGGTTACAGGTACGGGGCTGGATGATTTTAGTTGTCTTTCCAACTTTAATGATGCTACGATTCTATGAAGTTCAGATATTTCTGCCATAGGCTTGGTGATGTAAGAGAGAGGACAACCTCTTGAGCCCCTAAGGGCCTTGCTTTTGAGACAGACAGGGGGCTGTTAAAGGCTCAGTGACTCAGTGTTTTATTTCCGTGCTGAATAAGAGGTTAATTGTTCCCATTCTTCCTCTCTCCTCCTCTTTCACTTTTCCCTCGACCTCTCCAGAAAATGAAGTCATTCAGATGGCGGTGGTCGATAAAGAGAAAATACTCTCAGTCCTCATTCAGCCCACGATGCGTTTGCCCAACTCGATGGCCAAAACTAGCAGCTACGAGGTGGGCCTGAGGGATCTGCTTAGCCACCTCAGCACCATCCGCAGGCCCATCCTGGCTGCCTTTAGTCTCTGGTCACTGCCCCTTCCCACCCTCCTGAAAAGTCTGATGGCCATTGGCAAGAAAGAGGAGTTCCTCTCCACGATCTACGGCTTCCTGGATGTTCTACCCCTAATCAAGGAGAAGGTCCCCGAGAAGGAAAGCTGCAAGCTGAAGAACTTGGCCAGCAACTTGCTGTGGCGGGACCTCAGCAACTGCAGCACCATGGAAAGTGCGAGCGCCATGATGGACCTGTGCAACGTCCTGGAGATCGACCTGGAGAACAAACCCAGGCAGCTCCTCAGCCCTGCCGGCCTGGAGTCCTTCATGTCCCTGCAACCCTTGCTGGACAAGAAGCTGCTCAGCCGGCCCTCGGCCCAGACGTTGGCTTCCCATGGCGTCGGCCTCCCCGAGCTGCACGCCTGCTTCGCGTGCGACCCCGCCAGGGGTCTCCCCAAGATGTGCGCCTTGGTCAATGCCCACAGGCATCCCTCTGAGAAGAAGGTCCGTCACCTGAGCAAGATCAAGGCCTACTTCCAGCAGCAGCCGCTGGCGGGTAGCAGCCAGACCTCAGTACACGATGGGTTGCTGGAGGCCACAAAGACTAAGCAAGACAGATGAACAGTACTCCTTACCAATCCCATCCCACTGCCCTGCGTGGGATGCAACCTGGGTTTGCGGTTCGAACGCCCAAAGTGAGCACTCTCCAAACACAATGCCAGCCAGGCCGTTGCTTGATGGGGTAATGACCTTAATTGCTCTTTCTGTGTATGCATGCAGATGAAATAAATTGTTTCTCTGCTTCGTCACCTGCTGCAAATACTTTGCTTTACTCCCCACGCCCATGTTCAGTGTGGAGGAGGCTCAGGTAGACCTCTGCTCAATACAACTCCCTGACAGGAGGTCGTGGCAAAGTGGGGGTCGGCCTCTGCCCCAGGTAACAGTGAGAGGATGAGAGGTGATGCACATCAAGTTGTGCTAGGGGAGGTTCGGGTCGGGTATCAGGAAATGTTTCTTCTTTGGAAGAGTGATAATGCATTGACACAGGCTGCCCAGGGAGGTGGGGCAGTCACTGTCCCTGCAGGGGCTCAACAGCTGTTGGAGTTGTCACACTGAGCGACGTGGCTGAGGGCAATCAGAGCCTCCCCAGAGCCTTCTCCAAGCTAAAAGCAGACAAGATAACTACCTACACCTGATTTGTAAAAGATATCCCAAGTCAGTAAAGGCATAAGACGTTTCCAGACCTGAATCTGCCCTTAAATGCTGCATCGGAGAAAAGGGGAGACTTGTGCCCATCTTTCAAACAGATCTTGTAGGTACCTGGTCTGGAGTTGGGACACGTCTCCTGGGAGATCTTGCAGGGCTGCTTATTACCAGAAAAGATGTTAAAAAGAAACTGCAGTTAGCTGCACAGCATGTTTGACACCAGCTCCTTGTTAGCTAATTAACACCATCCCCAGGGGACTGGGTGCTGCCAATTATCTTTGATGGGAGTGAGGGCTACAAAAAGCCCTGGGCAGCCCCCTGCCCCTTATGCTGGGTTCTGGCAGGCAGGATGAGGCTCCTGAGCTGCCTGGGCTTTGCTCTTTTCTGCTGCCTCCTGGAGATGGGAGCTGCCTACACCTCTTGGGGCTTTCTCCGAGGGGAGACGGAGCTGTGGGGGGCTCAGTCCTTGGGGCAGCCCCATGCCTTCTCCCAGCCCTCCCCATGGGCATGGGTGGACGTGTCCCAGCTCCAGGCTGCATCCCCACTGCACCCCGTGTCTGTGTGGTGCCAGGAGGCTCAGATGGTGATCACAGTGCACAGGGACCTCTTTGGTACCGGGCGCCTGGTCCGGGCTGCAGACCTGACCCTGGGTACGGCTGCCTGCCCGGCCACAGCCCAGAATGCTGCTGAGAACGTGGTGACCTTCACGGCTGGGCTGCATGAGTGTGGCAGCACCCTCAGGGTAAGGCTGGGGGCCACGGGTGGGGGCTGACTCCTTGTTTGCACCTGGGGGTGCTGTGTAGCAAGGGATGCTGAGCCTTTGGGTGTTTAACTGGGAAGTTCTGACTGGTTTCTTCCCATTTGTTTAGAAGGGTTGGAAGCAAACCTAAAGAGGAAGCAGCTGCCAGCCCTCCCAGTGCTTGTTACTTCACATAGCCAAGGGCAGGCTTGGCGCTGCTGAAGCTTCTTTAGCCTGCTGGTGTCTCTGATGCAACACTTAATGGAGCACAGTGGCTGGGCTCTGTGCTTAGGGAAACAATTACAAGGTTTTCCTTATAGCTGGGAGCCTCAGTTCCTCTCTGAAGGCTGCAGCTGACAGTGAGTTTAGGGAAGTCTGGGTGCTGCCTGCTGTTGCTAGAGCATGTGTATGGTAACTGTTGAGTCACAGCCTGAACCACTGATTGAGCACCTGGGGAAAGGACCCTGGCAGCACAGGTGAAGGCAATTCAGCTGTGTGATAGGAAGGGGTGGATCCTGGCTGCACCTCGCTTTGACCTCATTTAAGGGCTGACTGCCCCTGGAGGAGGATCCGTGGTTGGAGATCCCTCCCTTGCAGAGTATTCCCTGCAAGCCTAGATCTTCAGGGACAGGTGAAGCCTTTCCTTTTTTCTTTGTAACCCCTTTCCATTGCATTAGTCCCGTTGTTATGACACCTCCTGCATGCCCATTCCACAGCACTGATCTTTTGATTGTTACAGAATGGCATGAAGCTGCTCTGAAAAAAGCTCAATCTCCTGGGAGAGGCTGTGGGGCTCCACTTGTGTGGCTGGAGGAGGAGGGTACTTGGTGACTGCATCATGCAATCTGCCTCTCCCCAGGTCACCCCTGAGGCTCTCATCTACAGCACAAGCTTGAATTACAACCCAGTCCACGCTGGCAACCCTGTTGTCATCCGCACCAGCCCAGCTGTGGTTCCAATTGAGTGCCACTACCCAAGGTGAGTTGATGTGGATGGGCACCAAGCCCTCCTGCAGCAGCGGAGCCTTCTGATCACGAGCATTACTCCCCAGGAGGAACAACGTGAGCAGCCATGCCATCCAGCCCACGTGGGCACCCTTCCACTCCACCCTCTCCTCTGAGCAGAAGCTGCTCTTCTCCTTGCACCTAATGAACGGTAGGTTTGGAGCAGGGGTCTCCCCTGGTGCGTGGGATGGGTGAGCTCCCCAGGTGACAGAGCTCCTGGGCCTTGTGTCCTCATAGGGTTCCTTGTGTGTGAGCAGTGAACCGTCTTCCTTTCATTCCAGATGACTGGAGCACTGAGAGGGCCTCTACTGTGTTCCAGCTGGGGGAGGTCCTCCACATGCAGGCGAGTGTCAGCGTGGGGAACCACACACCTCTGAGGCTCTTTGTGGACAGCTGCGTGGCCACCCCCAGCCCAGACAGGGGCTCCTCTCCCCAGTATGCATTCATTGACTTCAGCGGGTAAGAGCTGCCTGTGCCCTGCTCTTGGCTCACCTCTCGGAGCCCTGGCTCTCAGCCACCTGGCTGACCTTTGTTTGTACCTAGGTGCATGGTGGATGGGCGGCTGGATGATGCTACCTCGACTTTTATATCCCCAAGGCCCCGGCTAGATGTGCTTCAGTTTGCAGTAGATGTGTTCAAGTTTGCAGGAGACTCCAGCAGCCTGGTAAATCCAAGATGGTGAACTCCCTTGTTTAGATGTTGTCCAACCTTGTGCCACGGCGTGAGTCAGTGCAGCTTTGGGGTTGTGTTGGGAAAGTATTCCTAGTCATTTGAGTTGGAAGGGACCCTTAAAGTCCATCAGTGCAGCCCCTGCAATGCACAGGGACACCCACAGCACATCAGGTGCTCAGAGCCCTCCAGCCTGAGCTTGGTGTCTGCAGGGATGGGGCACCACAGCCTCTTTGGGCAATCTGTGCCAGTGCCTCGCTGCCCTTAGTGTAAAAACAAAAAAACTTCCTTACATCCAATATAAATCTCTTCTCTTCTAGTTTGAATCCATTTCCCCCTTGTCCTACCCTTCAACAGACTCTGTTAGAGTCTGTCCCCTCGTAGCAACACGTGGATGGGGTGTTACTGCTTCTGATCGTAGCCCTGTGAGCCCAGGCTCCTCCCTGGGTAATGGTTCTGGTCAAGACAAGCCCCCCTGGGTTAAGCTTGAACGGCTGCACTCAGTGTTCTGAAAGAAGCAGTGGTGTCTGGAGTGCCTCGGGGAGATAGTGGTCCCTCACAGGGCATGGGGAAGCCATGTGTGTGCCTCTGAGCTGACTGACCACCTCACCCTGCTGCTTGGTCTCTCAGCTTTACATCACCTGCCACCTGAAGGTCTCCCCAGCCAGCCAACCTCCGGACCCTCAGCACAAGGCTTGTTCCTTCCACAAACCCAGCGGGCTGTGAGTAGCTGGGATGTGCTTCTGGGCTGCCCGTCAATGGGGTCCCTGCTATAGGGCAGGCTGGTGACCAGGTTCTCTTCCAGCTGGGCGCCTGTGGAGGGCATGAGGGCTGTGTGCTCGTGCTGCGAGACACAGAGCTGTGGCACAGCATGGCGCTCCCTGCAGCCCTTCAGCCCATCCCATCAGCACAGAGGAAGGCGATCCCACAGAGAGCTGCCCCTGGGTCCCACGCTGGGAGAAGCAAACGTGATGCTGGGCCCTCTGCTCATCCATGGCCACCAGCAGCACCCAGCAGGCAGGGTGCCCTCAGCAGGTGGGTAATGAAGACGGGGTGTGGGCCCATCTTTGCTTCTGACCACCTTTTGGCTTCTCCTCTGCAGGTGCTGGAAGCCATGTGGGGCTGGGGCTGGCTGCTGGCTTGGCCGTCCTGCTCCTTGCTGCTCTGGGAGCTCTGGTTGCCCGCCGGACGCACAGCAATCCTGTCTGAATTGTGTTCTCAACTTTTAGCTTCTGATATCCAATAAAAAGTAAACCTGACCCACGATGGGAGACTTCCTGGGGTCTGAAGGGGGGTTCTGGCTCATGCTGTCCATCCTGTCAGTAAGGGCTGGTGGGATGGGGGTCCCTGCTAAGGGGGGCTGGAGAGGTGCAGAGAAGGTTTGACTCTTCCTGGGCTGCAGGGAGGCAGGAATTCCAGTCCCTGCCCCAAGGACTGTTTATGCATTTCATCCAAGGCTCGTTACATATAGATATGTGTAAACAGTCCTTGGAGCAGGGACTGGAATTTCAGCCTCTGCTTTCCTCCTTCTCCCCCCCACTGCCACCACAGAAACGGGCTTTTCCTTTCGGCACTATGGAGCTGAGGCTGTTCTGATGCTCCTGTTCCAAATCTGAAAGCAGATGCTCTCTGCTGGGTGCAAACAGAACCCCTGAATTCTGTGATGGGGAAGAGGAAGGGTTTCTGTGTTTCTCCTACCAGCCTTGTTCTTATGAGACTTTCTCTACTGTTAGCAAAGCTCTGGCTTGCACCCACGGGTGGCCATTCCCCCTAGCAGCCCTCATCCCCTCCTGAGCACAGTCCCTGGCTTCTTTCTGGCATGCAGCTTTGTGTTACAAGCAGAAAGGAGCTGTGCTTTTAAGTCTCTTTTGTATAACATGGGGGGGAAGAATGTTTTGCTTTGGGGCTTGCCCTGGGACTTTTCACCTCTGTCTCCTCCAGCTCTGTTCTTACCCTCTTTCCTGGCCTTGCTGGTTTGTGGCCAAGCCATCTTCTGCTTGGAATAAGGTCAGCACAGAATTTCCCTTTTTCTGAGACAAGCACTCCCCAAGCACCTCCCCAGCTCTGTGTCTCGATGGGCTGCTCGTTGCAGAGGGGCCCCTGAGCTGCCCCCTCCTCACCAGCCAAGGCTCCTGCCCTCGCCCTGTGCTCCCCAGCCGTTGTTTACTGATTCAGCAGCGCCTGCCCCGTTATCTGCCTGCCGTCAGCGTGAGTGCCTTTGCCAAATGTCCTCCCAAAGACAGAGGCTCCCTGCTGGAATGCCTGGCATTTCTACGCAAGCACCAATCTCAAGGTATCCTAAACACCGAGGAGAAGTCCTGACCTGCTCTGTGGGGAGGAGAGTCAGCAGGAGGGCAGAAGGTTGTGCAATACAGCATGCTTGCATGTGCATCGTGCTTTTGGGGTGTTGCGTCAAATTCAGTGGGGTTTCTGGCTGCTGACTGATCTGAAGCTTTATCTGTTTCCTAGGGGCCAGCTGAGCTCCGCTGCAGCTCTCTTCTAGCTAAGGGCATCACAAAGGTGGGGAAGGATTTGGGGTGCAGAGCAGAACACCCTTTGTGTCACCGTGCACATAGCAGGGTGGGGAAAAGACATACAGACACAACGAAGGGGCTGAGAACGTGTGGGGCTGAGTCTCAAGCAGCCATCCATTCGCTAAGGGATGTCCTGGGTATTTTGCTGGGTGCTGGGCAGAGCTGGCTAACATGGGCTGCAGGCTCAGCCCTGGAAGAGTGCTGCAGTAGGGTGTGATGGGGCTGGCTGAGCACGGCTGCACTCGTGCCGTTGGTAAGAAGTGGAATGTGTAAAGTCCCTACTTGGGATGCTATGGAGGGGCCACAGGGCAGCAGCAGAATCTGGAATAGCTCCGGGCAGGGCTGGGGGTGGTGGAAAGCCCCCACCTCTGACCCCCCCCACAGCATCACCTCCCCAGGAGCCTTGAAAAGCCCCTTATCACCAGGCAAAAACCTAAACAAGCCGCTCCGTCCCCGTCTCCCCGTCTCCGGCTTCTGCTGAGTTTTCTAAACAATTCCCCCAAAGAGGCTGACGAGGATGTTTTCTCTCGCCTTGGGCAGCCTAGGATGGGGGGCACAGCACCCCGGAAACGACTCTGCCTCCCCATCCCCACGTGCAGACAGCACAGGGGACGAGGGATATAAAGCACCGCGGAGCCGCCTTAGCTCCCATGCTGGGCGAGCTGGCAGTAGGCAGGATGCGAGGCGGCTGCGTGGTGCTGGGGCTCCTGTGCTGCTTGGTGGCCGGGGTGGGCTCCTACACACCTTGGGACCTCTCCTGGACAGCACGAGGGGATCCCTCTGCCTGGTCCTGGGGGACTGAGGCGCACTCACGGGCCGTGGCCGGCTCGCACCCGGTGGCTGTGCAGTGCCAAGAGGCGCAGCTGGTGGTGACGGTGCACAGGGACCTCTTCGGCACCGGGCGTCTCATCAACGCTGCCGACCTGACTCTGGGCCCAGCTGCCTGCAAGCACTCCTCGCTCAACGCCGCACACAACACCGTTACCTTCGCCGCTGGCCTCCACGAGTGCGGCAGCGTCGTGCAGGTGAGATCTCGTGTCCCAGGTGGGTGGTTTCCTCCCAGACAGGAGGGTTTGTTTTTTTCCAACCAGAGCTGCTTTGTGCTTACAGCTGCAGACCCTGTGTTTCATCCTTTTATTTATTTATCTTTTTTGCATTTCCCAATGGAAAGAGACAGCTCTGGGTGGATAGGGGGGAGGTCTCGGTGCCTCATTGCCAACTTTGTGCACTTTCCCTGCCCAGGTGACGCCAGATGCCCTCATCTACCGCACGCTCATCAACTACGACCCCAGCCCTGCCAGCAACCCTGTCATCATCCGCACCAACCCTGCTGTCATCCCCATCGAGTGCCACTACCCCAGGTAAGGACCCTGCACCCTCACTGTCCCCCCACGTCTCCCCAGTGCCCAGCTGAGTGCTGACGCTGTCGCTTGCCAGGAGGGAGAACGTGAGCAGCAACGCCATCCGGCCCACCTGGTCCCCCTTCAACTCTGCGCTGTCAGCTGAGGAGAGGCTGGTGTTCTCCCTGCGCCTCATGAGCGGTATGTGGGATGGCACCCTGTACACCAGCAGGGTTGTGCCATGTGGCGCAGCTCCCAGTCACCCAACTGGGGGCACCCAGCTGTCCCAAAGCCATCAGCCACACTGCTCCCTGGCTGTCACCTCTGCCGTCCCCTCTCTCACCCCCTTGTGTCACCTCCCTGCCCTGCAGATGACTGGAGCACAGAGAGACCCTTCACCGGCTTCCAGCTGGGCGACATCCTCAACATCCAGGCTGAGGTCAGCACTGAGAGCCACGTGCCCCTGCGGCTCTTTGTGGACAGCTGCGTGGCTGCCCTGAGCCCTGACGGTGACTCCTCGCCCCACTACGCCATCATTGACTTCAATGGGTGAGCCTGGGGGGGGTCACCGCATCACCACACTCAGGGGGTTCAGCGGGATGCTGACCCACCCCCCCATCTGCCCCACGTTCAGGTGCTTAGTGGATGGGAGGGTGGATGACACCAGCTCTGCCTTCATCACACCCCGGCCGCGGGAGGATGTGCTGCGGTTCAGGATCGATGTCTTCAGGTTTGCGGGGGACACCAGGAACCTGGTAAGGCTGTATGCTGTGTCCATTCACAACACCTACCCTGAGCCAGGCTGTCCCCAGGGAGAGGTGCCCAGCCCTTCCCCTGCCTTCCCACAGATCTACATCACCTGCCACCTGAAGGTGACCCCAGCAGACCAAGGCCCAGACCCCCAGAACAAGGCTTGCTCCTTCAATAAGGCCAGAAACACGTGAGTAGCTGTGGCACAAATCAGGCTGTTTTATGAACTCCAACTCAGGGGCTGGCACCCAAGCCTCAGACACAGGACACAGACCCTCTTTGTGGGTCTGGAGGGTGGTGGAAGAGGAGCTACCTGATACTGGGACACCACCTCACGCTCCCCCAGCGTGTGTTTGCCAATGTTCTTGGTGTCCTTTGGGCAGAGAAGGGAGGGGAGAGTTGCCGGGGGTCCCTACTCACCGGTAACAGTCCTGCTATCCTGCTCCAGCTGGGTGCCAGTGGAAGGCAGCCGGGATGTCTGCAGCTGCTGTGAGACGGGCAACTGTGAGCCGCCCGCTCTCTCCCGGAGGCTCAACCCCATGGAGCGATGGCACGGCCGCCGCTTCCGCCGTGATGCCGGTAAGGTCCCTCCTTAGGGCTGGGGAGACCCAGGAAAGGGGGCACACAGCTCATGGTTCCATCCTTCCAGGGAAAGAGGTTGCAGCTGATGTGGTCATTGGCCCCGTGCTGCTTTTGGGGGATTTGGGAGCCGTGGGACAGCTGCAGGAGGATGGTGATGGTGAGTCCCTGTGGTTGCGCCCTTGTGGTGCGGCTGCAGTGCCCTGCTCTGACGGCCGGGTTTGGGTTTGCAGGTGAAGCGGTGACGGTGCCCAGTGTGGAGACGGGGCTGCTGTGCATGGCCGTGGCTGTAGCACTGGCTGCCGTTGGGGTGGCTGTGGGTATTGCACGTAAAGGCTGCACCCGAACCTCAGCTGCGGCATGAGTGCAGGGCGAGCCGTGAATAAAGCCTGGAAAAGAGAAACTGTGTCGTGCTGTCCCTTTGCGCCGTTGTGGCTCTGGGGTAGCAGAGTCCCCAGCTCCTAGACCGCCTCCACCACTTGGGTTCAGGGTTGGGGGTTACACTGCAATTGGGCTAGAGCACTGCCAGCAGTGGGATGCCCCAGGAGGTCTTCAGGTGCCCCTGGTGGCTCTCCTAGGTACTACTGGGGTCAGTGGTTGGGTGACCATAGAGGTGTCCCCAGCCTCTGGTCACCACGTGTTAGGGGGACAACGGCTGCACCGAGGATCCGACTCCATGCCCTGCTCGGGCTCTGGGGGTCGCAAACCAGCCGGGTGGGCGGAGGGATCTGCTATACAGGATGGGGTCCCGGCTGGGACCCCGTGCCCCCAGACTGCTGCGAGGGCCGGAAGTTCAAGAGCTCCGCTCCCGCCCGTGCCCCTTCAGCTCCGAGCGGCTTCGTTCCCCCCTCAACCCGAGCTGCTGCCCTCGCTCTTCACACGCTGTGCATCTATGTCAGTTCCCACTGACACGGCGGTCGAATGAGGGCCCTGGCACGCAGCTTGCAGGAGCTGCGGTTGGGAGAAGCTGAACGAGCCGAGCATCCATCGGCTGCAGCTGAAAATAAAGGCGGGTAAGCACGGAGGGGCACAAGCACGAAATAAAGACAGAGGAACCAAATGCAGCCCCGGGACTCGAAACGGCGGTGCGCTGAAGCCCCGAGGCGGCTCCGCCCGGCGGGCGCGGGAACAGCGCGGACCTGGGTGAGGACTGCAGAGTAACGCACAAACGCGGCGGGGCTTTCGGTGGGCGGGGCTTTTTCTGCTGGGCGGGGCTTTCGGTGGGCGGGGCCGGGAGCCCTCCAGGGTCCCGGTATCGGTTCCGGGTCGCGGAGGCGGAGCCTGCGGGAATCGAGCGGTAGCGCCATGGTGGGAGCGGGCCCGGCGGCGGAGTGGGGGAGCCCGGGGGGCTGTGGGGGCTGCGCGGGGCTTCGCCGGGCTCTGAGCGCTCCTTTCCTCCGCAGCGGTTCCGGTTCTGCGGGGACCTGGACTGCCCCGACTGGGTGCTGGCCGAGATCAGCGTGCTGGCCCGAATCGTTAAGTGATTTCCCTACCAAACCCCGTCCGTCCCGGCGCCGGGCTCCGCTTTCGGCAGAGCCGGGCGCGGTGCTGAGCCTGCTTCTTCCTGCAGTCCTCGGTGAAGCTGAAGCTAATCTGTGCCCAGGTGCTGCGGAAGCTGCTGGGAGAGGCCATCGATGTGAGTGTTCCCGCTGGGAACCATGCAAGCTCCCAAACCCCTGCTTTGGTTATAGTATTGCAGTGCTATGCAGCGCTGTAGTACCAATGGAAAGAGGTGTGTTGCTGTGTAATTAATTAGTACCTGTGCTTCTGTCGCGCAGTATGAGAAGATCCTGAAGCTGACGTCGGACGCCAAGCTCGGTGAGCCCCATTGCCCTCCTGCTGCTGGGAGCCTTGCAGGAGGCAGCCACCCCCCAGGGGTCTGTCTGTTGCTGAGCTGAGCCCCCTCCTCCCCGCAGAGTCAGGTGATGTGAAGGCTGCAATTGCTGTGCTCGACTTCATCCTGTCCAATTCAGCCAAGCACAATGTGGATGGTGAATCCCTGTCCAGCGAGCTGCAGCAGCTGGGACTGCCCAAAGGTGGGGCGTGGGATGGGGGCACGGGGCCCTGCAGTCACACATCTGCAGCAGGTGCCGCCTCGTTGTGCCCAGTCCTACAGTGAGCAGTGCACAATGCTGGCTGTCCTCTCATGTCCACACTGTCTGACTCCTGGCTTTCTGAGCCCTGCCCTGTTCCCTCCCTGCTGGGGTTTGGCTGCCCCAGGGCTGGGGCTAGCAGCAGTAGGCTCTCATTGTTTCTCCCATCTTCCTTCTCGGGCAGAACACGCCACAGGGTTGTGCCGCTCCTATGAGGAGAAGCAGAGCTCTCTACAGGACAGCCTCAGGGCTGGCAGCCTCCGATGTGAGTGTCCCACTCATACTGCTGGTGTGCGACCCTTAGGGGCAAGGCAGAGGGGGGGAGGAGGGAGAGTCTCTTCCTTGGTGACGTCCCATCCAAGGGTGACACATTGGCTCTGTGCTGCCCTGGCTGAGCTGAGCCATGAGACCAAGCTGGGCACTGACACAGCCCTGCACTGCAGTGAGCCGCCTGGATGGTGTGTCGTGGCGGGTGGACTATGCACTGAGCTCCAGCGAGCTGCAGGAGGTGGGCGAACCTCTGGTGCAGCTGCTGCTGCGTGTGCGGCATCGGGAGCACGGGGAGCCTGAGGCCGTGCCCATGGCCGTGTCAGCGGAGAAATTCCGCGTGCTGCTGGCAGGTGAGGATGGGTGAAGTTGGGGCTGAGGGAGCGAGCCCCATCCTTTCTGTCAGGGCTCTCCAAGCCCTCAGAGCAACACTCCATGCCACAGCTTCTCCACCCTGCAGAGCTGAAGCAGGCCCAGGCGCTGATGAAGACCCTCCTGTGAGGACGCGGCCCGGCGGTAGTGTCACAAATACAATGCGTGTGTTCTGTCCTCATAATAAAATGCGGGAGCGAAGCCCGAGCTCTGTCAGCCTCTTCCTGTCCCCGGGGCATTCGGGCCTTGCAGGCCCAGCGCGGTCGTTCCCATGGCGACGCGAGTGCGGTCCTTCCCGGCATGCCCCGGGACGAAGGCGGGCCCAATGGGAATAGGAGCGGGGCGTATCGCCATGCGATGGGACGGCCAATGGGTGGTTGGCGGGGCGTTCCCAAGCGACGTAACGGCCAATGGGAGACGAGGGGGTGTGTCCCACGCCTTAGAACAAACCGATGGGAAGCGGGCGGGGCTTGGCCAGGCAACTGCGCAGCCAATGAGAGGCGAGCGGGGCGTGTCGCCAGGTAACGGGGCCGGCCGCGGCGCGGAGCGGTCTCGGTGTGCCGGCGGCGCAGAGGTTCCGTCGCCATGCCGGAATGCCCGGAGCTGCACCTGGCCGGCCGCTACATCAACGAGGCGTGCGGCGGGTTGGTGTTCGAGGGCGGCGTGCAGCGCTCGGCCGTGGGCCGCGGCCCGGAGGTGCCGTTCAGCAGCGAGGCCTACAGGGTGACGGCCGTCTCCCGCGGCAAGGAGCTGCGGCTGACGCTGGAGCCGCTGGGCCCCGGCCCTTCGCAGGCCTTGGTGTTCCGCTTCGGCATGTCGGGTTCGTTCCGGCTGTGCGAGGCCTCCAGTCCGCCCCGCCACGCGCATTTGCGTTTTTTCACCCGTGAGAGCCCCCCCCGCTCCCTCTGCTTCGTGGATCCCCGGCGCTTCGGCACCTGGCGGCTGGGAGAGGAGTGGCAGCCCGACCGCGGGCCCTGCGTCCTGCTGGAGTACGCGGCCTTCAGGTGGGTGCCCGGCCTCCTGTCGCGGTGATGGGGACGGGAAAGAGGCTGGGCGGCGGGGGGGACGCGGCGCCGTGCGTGCCTCGTGCTGTGCTACAGGGAGAACGTGCTGACCAACCTGGAGGATAAAGCTTTCGACAAGCCCGTCTGCGAGGCGCTGTTAAACCAGAAGTATTTCAATGGGATCGGCAATTACCTCCGTGCTGAGATCCTGTACAGGTGAGCTGCCGCGTCCCTGAGAGCACGGCGCTGCTTGCTGCTGTCCCCGCAGCCACACCATCGCAGAGTCCAGCCTCTTCCAATGCAATATATGAGCACCTCAGGCTGCGTTGGGCTTGAGTGTAACAGCTGGACTCTCTCAGGGCGAAGATCCCTCCTTTTGAAAAGGCTCGGACTGTGCTGGAAGCCCTGAAGCATCAGGAGCAGGTGAGGAGGAAAAGGTGGAGGATGCATGGTGCTTTCCAGGCTGCTGTGCTTGGGCTTGGGGGCCCCTGCCCTTCAGTGCCATTATGGATTTGGATTTGAGCTCAGCAGTGGTGGCCCAGGGTTTGGGACAGTTTCAGTTCACATTGAGTACCTCACTGTGATGGGGCTGCAAACTGTCACCAGGTCCTTGCAGGGTTCACAGAGCTCCTTGCCTCTGTCCCCACTGCTGTCAGGAGGTGTTTACTGCTCTGGACAGGTTTTGAAGTGTAATTGATCGAACCCTTCCTGCTGCCACTGTCCAGCAGCCATACTCAGGTTTCCCAGCATAACAGCAGGCATTTTCCCTTTGTAACTTGCTGGCTGGGGTCTCCCTCATCAAGCTTGTTGTTGTCCTTGCCATAAACACCCGTGTCAGAGCATGTCTGCTCCTCCAGTGGAGCAGCAAGTGAGCACAGCCGTTCCATAACAGCACACGTGTGGCATGCAATTGCACGTGGCCATGCCAACAAGCTGTGACAGCTCCTCAGGCATGTGCCTTCAGGTCAAGATGGTAAAGAGGAAGTGGCAAGGAAAGCAAATATAATGCAAGCTTGAAACCTCTGGGGAAAGCTGCAGCTGAACCTGTGGCTGGCTTGCTGTCCGTGTACTCTAATCCTGAAGCCCCAGGGGAAAGTGGGTGCTTGTTTTCAAGAAGTTTTAAAAACAACAAAGCACAACCTGAGGCTTCTTTTTAGCAAACTGCTCGTGCTCCTGTATGCTGCCCCTTTTTCGTGTCCCTGTAGCTGTGCTAGTAGTACACAATGCACAGCCTACAGCGTGGCCTGCAGATTGGCTTGTGCCCTGGCAAGAGGCTGAGGGGGGATACAGGATTTGGATGATATGGGGATGAAAAGATCCGAGTGGGGTAGCTGGCAGGTTCTCTTCTCCAGAATTCTTCCCTGACATTGAGTAAGAAGCTGAAGCTGAAGCGAGATAACCCCGATCTCCTGGAGCTGTGCCACACGGTGCCCATGGAGGTTGTGGCAGCAGGTGAGGCTACGGGGCAGGGAGCTGAGGAATAAGGCTCTGGCTGGAGAGCGCTTTCTCTCCATTTCCTTTCCCTTTCTTCCTTCCTAGATAAAAATCTCTTTGACCCTTCTTCTGACTCGGATAACTATGCTGCCTTCAAGAACTGGCTGCAGTGTTACTTAGTGCCTGGCATGAGCTCCCTGCGGGACCGCAACAACAGGACCATATGGTTCCAGGTAGGAGTCTGGGGTCTCTGCTTGGGGCTGGGTACCCCTGTTGCTCCTCCCAGGGAGGAGCCTTTCTCTTGTGCATTGCTTCCCTGAGATCACCGAGCTGTATCACTGGGCATCTCTCTTTCCCAGAGCCTGCTGTGACCACTGGACCTGTAGGTGGTAGTGACAGGGACACAGCTGCTGAGGGACAGAGGGCAGCCTGAGCAGAGGGGGCTGGGTGTTACCAAATGGCTTGGCAGCACTCTTCCTCCTTCCTGGGTGAGGTGCAGTGATGGGGCCTCGTAGAAGGAGCAGGGAGTCTCAGAGACAGACAGTGCCCCAGGTTCCTCTGGGTTTGAGGGGAGATGTGTCTGTTTGCCTATTCCTGTCTTGGCTGTGGGGTGCAGAAGGGTCTCATTGCTCCTGCTGGAAGCTGCTACAGGGTGCTTTTATGGGATGCTTGCTGGCAATCCCTGCAGTATGATGTTATCCCAGTCACTGCTCTGTCACCTTCCTTGCAGGGAGAGCCTGGCCCCATGGCTCCCAAAGGTGAGTGTCCTCCCTCCTCCCCACAAGACCCGCTCTTGCTCCAAGAGGGCTGGAGCACAGGGAGGGAACAGTCTGCTCACAGCCAGAGGAGCACAGTCCTACTTTGAAGGCGAGTGCTGCAGTCCCTGGTTTGCTGACAGCTGTGTGGCAGCTGGGTGGCACTAGGGGATGGAGCTTGCTGTGCCCGTGGCTTCCTAGCAGCACACCAGCCTGCCTGTACACAGCTTCTGCACCTGCAGGGTGATTTTGCGGGGCAGCTACATCCCCTTCCTTGCCTGCCAGGCTCGGAGCAGGAGGGCCAAACTCTGAGGCTGGGTGTGAACAGAAGCCTGGTGGTTCACTGTGTTTTGGGAAAGGAACAAATCTGTCAGGAGGGGAGGGGAACCACCTTGAATCCTTCCTCCACCTGAGTTCCCATTCACTGCTCAGGATGGTATCCCTTGTCCCTCCCACCCCCCTAACCTGAGCATGTCCTCTCACAGGTCAGAAGTCCCGCAAGAAGCACGCACACCTGAAGGCAGATCCTGAAGCTCCAACCCCCACGGTACGAAGTTTTGTGGCTGGTGAGACTGCTGCTGGGGCTACAGGCTGGTTCCTTTGCCCTCTCAGGCTGCTCCCACAGTCACCAAGCGATGCATGAATCTTCACGTTCCCCTCTCGTGTGCATGCTTCTGCTGCTAAGCCCTGGCTCTGTCCACCCAGGTCACAACACGTGCCTCCAAACGGCGTTCTGGGGGTGCAGAGAAGCCCCCGGAGCCAGCTGTGAAGGAGGAGGAAGAGAAGGCAGTGCCTGATGGGTCAAGGAAGGGACGTACCCGTGGGAGGAAGAAAGTGGCTGCTGCTCCAACTTTACCTGAGCCAGATGTTCCAGTCAGAGCAAAAAGAAACCGGACTTCAGCACGCAGGGGCAGAGGTGAGGCTGGTGGTCCCTGTGACTTTTGGACCAAGGAGGTGACAAAGGGCAGAAGAGTAATCAGGGTTCTGCAGAGCAGAGCCAGGCACCCCCTCACCTTCTGCCTTCTTGTTTCTCTTCCAGGTGCAGCTGCTGTAGTGTGAGTAGAGTACACTGCCTTCACACACCTCAGCCTTTGGAAACGTGTGACAGCTTCTGCTGTGGAGACACACTGGCCTGGGCTGCCTGGTGTTGCTTTCAGGCATGCCTGCTTGTAGCACTCGCTCTGTGCAGCACTACTGCTGCTCTTGCAGCCTCAGGGATGGGAGCAGGCTGGTGCTCCTCCTCCTTCCTGTTCTTATATATTTTTTTACAACCTTGCTTGTCCCTTCTGAGTGGTTTTAGAATCAGTTCCTCAGAGGGACCACTGATTGTGCATCGTGTCAGACTCTGACCCCTTCCTATACCTTAAATCATATTCCTTCTTCCTTTTTTTAATTGCTGCCTGGATCACGGAGAAAGCTGGTTTTAGATGATTAATAAAAGTATTTTGTGTAAAAATTGGTGTGCCTGCCTTCTTGTGCTAAGGCTAACCCCACCATGCCCAGCCTCTTTCCCAGGTGGGCTGGAGAAACCCCACCTCCAAAAGTAAAGGTAAGCACTGCCCCCTTAGTTTCAGGAGTAAGAAATATCCCACTGAGGAGGAAGGACACTGAGAGCAGCAGCAGCTACAACAGAGTGTTCTCATGTAATTTTGTCTTATTTGTGCCCCCTTCTGCCAGAGCAGTGCAGGAGACAGGAGAAGGAAGGGAAGAGAAGGGGCTGACTGCACTGCTCTCTGATGGCTGGTTGGGGGTCTAGGGTAGATTTTGCTCTTCCCTGGAGCTGCTCAGTATTGCACACTTCTTGGGAAATACTCTCACTGGAATCTGGTCAGCAGAAATGCTTGGTCCTTCTTCCTCTCTGGCCCAGCAAGAGGGCACTGGTGGCCAGGCTCAGTTCCAAGAGATGACACTGCACTTCCGGGTTACTTGGATGTGCCGTGGGGGAGATTCGGGCTGTGATTTGAGCTCCCAGTGTCGGTCCAGGTTATTGTAGCACCAGCATCACTGCTTCAAAACCAAGAGGATGGAGAGCACTTGGAATGGTGTGAAGGAAAGCTTCATACCCTGCTGCTCCAGTGGCAGGTGGCCCTTGGCTGCTGGCCTCTCCAGGAGGTCACATCTGGGGGGAGAAAACAGCTGGTGAAGCTGAAGTGACTGACCTGAGCTCCTGCCCAGCCACCCTGTGCACACTTACAGCATTGCCTCTTTAATGGGGAGGGAGGTCTGGAGCCAAGTGACAACTGTGCTGCCATGTGCCTCGTACAGCCGGACCACCACAGCTTCAGGTCTGTCCTCAGCCTTTGCAGACACAACACAGAAACCTGAGTTCACACAGAGGAGATGGGAACATCCTAACCTACATCTTTATACCTCAACCAGACCAAAATGAGCTCAACTGAGCTGCTCTGCCATGCAGAACAGAACTCCATAGCCACTCAGCCAATCCTGCCTGTCACCCAGTGCCGGGGAGAAAGCAGACCACACTGAACAAGCAGCTTCAAAACTGCCCCCTCTACCCCCCTGCTTCTTCCTGGGGGACTTGCCTGCTTGACAGTCTCCAAAACAACTGCAGGTGAGCTCAGAGAAAAAGCACTCCAGGCTGGACACGGTGCACAGCTGGCTGGGACTGCGTGGAGGGGGAAATTCAAGTTGTAGGCACACTGGATCACACCAGCATCCTGGAAGGAGCCTGCAAAACACGAACCTCCAATCAGTCTTTATGCACTGACAGCCAGAGGTGGAGGCACCCTGTGCCTATCCGAGGCTCGCTGGAGCATCCTCTACTCTGGGTGCCCTCACAGTGTCCAACTCTGCTCATTACTCACCTTGATGAGGCATCACAGCATAGGTGAACTGGTGGTGGGCAATATCTGCAGTGGCATCAGGAGACTTCGGTGCTCTCAGCCTAAGGAAAGAGATGGGACTCTTCACAGGACCTTCTGTCACCCAACCAGAGCACTGGCAGGGCAACTGCCTTCCCCAGCTACTTTGGGTCTGGGTCCTGAGGCGGATTCTGGGACTCTAGACACGGTCCCAGAAGCTAAAATCAATCTCTGAAGGGTGGTTTCCTATGAAACTTTCAGCTGGTAAGATTCAAAATATCCATTTTCTCTTAGCTTCGCATGCATATGTAACAGTGACATTCCATTCCCTCCCTTAAGTCTCCCTTCCTGGGGTGTGTTTTGGCCAGCAACAGAAAAATTACTTGGTGCAAATGTGGCTCTGAGCTCAATGGCATTATTTATGAGCGTATGCCATCGGAATTACATTATCTTAGTCAATTTTAATTACATCAGCTAACAAGTTTTAGAAGACAGCCACCCACTTAGGCTAATCACAGACTATTTCCTTATTAACTATGATCATTCAGGACCAGACACTGCCCTGACTTGAAACAGACACCTCAGAAAGCACCTCCAACGACTGCTGCAGCTCCACCCTCACCACAACCCCACTCACAATGAGAGGCTGAGGACGTTCCTGTGTGCTGATGCCCCATATTTACAGTCATTCAGCACTGCCACCCCGAAGCCGTGCTCAGAGAGATCCATCCACTTGTGAGCCCACACCTGCAGGAGACACCAAAGGACATATTCATCACACAAAGCCTGCAGGAAAGCAGTCAGCCCATCATGGGACCAGAGCTCCTCTCACCTCAAATCGGGCCCAGTCCCAGGATGTGTTCCAGTGGGTTGGCCGCTGCAGGTGCCCAAATTGGATTTCGTAGGTAGCATTTGTGCTACGGACCTGCACAGGGAACTCCACCTTCAGGAACTTGTGAGATTCCTTCCAGTCAACCTAAATGCAATAGCAGAAAGGCATTGCCATGGGCTGACAGGCAGAAATTGCACTCATCCTCCCTTGACATGCAGCAGCCAACTACCAGCCAGGCTGGACCAGGTACAATACAACAGCCACTAAAAACTGCAAGCAGCAGAACTGACTGATTTCATCCACCTTCTCCCTCAAGAGACCTCATTCTGGGACTACCTTCACCTTTTGCAGAGGACAACAGGCAGTGGGGACCCCGAGAGCAGAAGATGGGGAATAAAACTCAGAGCTAGGGTTCAGCTCGCCAGGGAACACAGCAGCCACTAGTCTCACCTGGGTCTTGAAGCAGATGTATGGGCACATGGCATCCAGGATGATCTCCTGGGTTAGGGTGCTGCTTTCCCCCACCCGCAGAGAGAAGGTGGCGCTTCCCCGTAGTCCCCCTGCCAGGGTGATTTCCAGAGGCTTCAGCAGCGTTGTCACTGGCTTCCTGGAGACAGGGGTAAAGGCAGAGCTAGTCCCAGCCCAGCAGATCCAGTTTCCCAAGTCCCAGTGCAGCCTCACACAGCAGATGCTCGCTTCTACAGAGTGAATGCCCCAAGACGGGGGAGGTGCTGAGATTTGGTTACAGCTAAAACTGACAGGAAGGTGAGAACTTCCAAGCAAAGTCAAAACTGAAGTGCTGCAGGCAGTGCTGCTCTACCTGGTCTCCAAGTGATAATCCATCACGTCCCAGGCGTCCCAGTACAGGGGAACATCATCAAAGAGTGCAAACTGGTTGGCACGGCAGCCATCGGCGACTGACTCTCTGCAACAAGGCAGAACAGAGAAAAGCAGCTTAAGAAGAGGCAGTGGTGAAAGGCTCACAGTGAGGAGAAGGCCTGAGAGAGGTTATAGGATCCCAGATGCAGGAAGCAGGTGAGAGACTCACCTCTCAGAGTGCACCAGCTGAAGAGAGGTCAGGCGCCCCATGGCATCCAGGCAGACTGCAATCAGCCCATTCTTCATGGTAATGGAGCCATCCTCCTGGGAGAAAAAGAACAAACAGATTGCACAGACTCATGCCTTCGGGAGGTGAGGGAGTGTGAAGTTCACAGCTGTAGAACTGGAGGTACCTCAATCTGAGGACAAAGGCAGTGATGCTTACCTGCTTGATCACTGCCACAGGCTGAGGGGGCAGCAGTGATTCCCTCACTACAGCATAGCCCATGCTGGGAGCTGTCACCAGGGCTGGAAAGGAAAGAGGTTTTGTTTCAGCACCTTCCCCAGACCCATCCTTAAGTTGACACTGTGTTGTCCTGGCGCTCTCATGTTCACCCCCTCCTCTTTATTTGTCATCTGGGGGCAATCTGAAGTGGGATCAGCCCCAAGAAGCATTTTGACAAATGAGTAAACCCTCTCCACGACAGGGAGAGGCAGAGTAATTCTTTGCAGGCTGTCTCTGCCACTGTAAGGAACCATGATGCATGCTCTGCTTCTGAGTTAGACATACCTAAAGCCTCTGTTCCAGCTGGCTCAGTCCTGGAGATCACCTCTGTCCGTTCCCAGGGCAAAGTGTTCAGCACAAGAGTGCTCTCAGCACCCCCAGACCTGAGCTGCAGCAGTTCTCCACATAAGGACTGCACGGCCTCCTCCTGCAGGCGACTGCCAGCCCTGCGGATCTCTGAGCAAAAAGCAGCCTCAATTGGACCCAGGCAGGCAGTTTCTCACATCAAAGAACTTCTTTTGTGAAAAGTACCTACTCTATAACTACTTCCAAGCTACAATTACTCATTATTTTTAGTATTAATTACCATTATCTATTAAGCAAAGCTTATGATGGTTCTTATTGACTTTATTACGAGATTACAGTGAGCCACGTCAGTTCAATTGGAAAATTGCTGAGCTGTAATAAAATAAGCAATTGCAACTGCCTGTGGGCAGACAGGAGCAGTCCTCAGCTCCCACCTTTGCTAGTGCAGAGAAGTCAGTAACTCAGCACGTTTTGCTCAATCCTGGTTGAATTTGCCCAATTACTGACACATGCCTGACACACTGTGCTGCACAGGTCTTGTCCCACGTTGCCAGGCAGTCTGAAATTGAAAGCTCTGCAACAGGCAGGACTCAAGGTGCTCCAATAGTAAGTAAGTGCCCTCCTGGCCCAACTCCCTGCTCACCTGCATAGTATTTCAGGGCATCCCTGACCACAAGCTGGATACAGCTGCCTGGTAACACGTCATGAAACTGGTTGAGCAGCAATAACCTAGAACAGAAGAGAAACCACACCAGGAAGCAGGGGAGAGCATTAGGTTTGTTCTAGCTTCCCAAGCCCTGTTTGCAAGATAGACAGACTTAGTAACTGTTCCCCATTAGAAAACAATGGGGAGTTTTTTTGCAAAGCACACTTTAAATCCCCTTACATTAGGATAAGGGGTCATCTTTGCCAACCACAACCATGGGGATTGGGAGCTGACTCTTTTAATCTCTTGGGACTACCAGATATGTTATTGTACAAGTTCAGACCAGTCAAAACTGGCCAAAGATAAGTGTAGGCCGGAGATGAAATTTCCAGGCAGCACAGCAGTAAAAGTTTGGAGCTTCCAAAGGATTTAGAGTGAAGGTTTAAAGATTCCAACGAGAGAAGCAAGGCACTGAAACTCTTTCCCATTAAGTTCTCATCAGTTTATGGAAGAATTATTGTTTGCA